ACCCCTGCATTGTCTGTGGTTTCAGTGGTCTTCGAGCATTTGCCCTAAATTTCGCAATCGGAAGGTCCCGAAGTTCTCCTGCATGTTGGGTCTAATGAGCTTGCAGATAAAAGGTCACTCGTACGTGCCGGTTCCATCTCCATTCATTTTTCTCCGCTTCTCTAAAAAACTTCTTGACTCCAGAAATTCTTCCTTTCTCTCTGATGTTGCTACCCCAGCTAATTTTACGCATCACTTCACTTATTCGGCGATCGTCTCCCAGTCGTCGTCTCAGCTACCTTTCAGGCTGCAGTTTTCCCAAGGAAAGAACGCTTGGAGCACTCCCTCGTCTAAAACTTTCGGTGGTTGTCTGTGATTTGCTACTTGCAGAGCCTTTCTTTCAATCTTCTCCTCGAAGCATAGCGTGCCTCACACAACTAAGTGGTTACTGCCGGTATTACTAGATCGCGCTGTGCTGTCTCGGATGACGTGGCGCTTATCGGACAAGACGAAGTCGATCGCACTGATCTTCGTCACGTTCAGAGCGATCTATTTCTACCACTAAACGGTTAACCTTGTTTTTAAACTAGGCTTATTTACTGTACAGGTATTTTGCTTCTGCCATTGTTTCCAGCTGATTTCCTCGCTCATTCCATTCTCCGGTGCCACATCTATCAGTAAATTTATCACCGGTCCTTCCTTGTCTGACTGTGGCACTGAAGCCTCTGATGAGAAATGCGTAATGGACTTTGGTAGGAATATCTATTCCAGTTCTTGATAGAATTGTTCTACCTCCTCCTCGTCAGCTGCACTTGTGGGAGTATAGGCTTCGACGATCTACAAGGCAGCCATCTTTTGCGGTTGAAGGCACAGCACGTCCAGTATCGGTAACGTTACGTCGCAGGAAACGATTCCGACGAATAAGCATTTGCTGACTACAAATATGATTACTCCTATTTTCCTCGCGTTCTATGTTAGCCAAATCGAAACGCTATTTATTCCCTTCCGTCGTAGTGTTTTGCAGAGGCCAATAATGTCGCAAGCCATCCCTGAGCTTTCCTCCATTAGTAGTTTAAAGGTTCTTCCCTCACCGTTGATCTAAAGCTCTGGGTGAAAACGGCGAGGAAAATCTAGCCGCTTACTAGATGCGGCATCAAACTGGGATGCGTAGTGGTAGCATATCCATAGTCGCACACCGAACCGAACATAGTCAATGTGGAATAGGAACAGAATCGCCCAAGCTATTAAGTTGCAATTATTCCTCCTGTCAGAGCACATGAAAATTTGTCATAAGCTAAGAGGGTTATCGGTGGCCCGAGGAATTTCGAACAGATGGTCCCATATTTCCGTCCAGTTTTTTAATCGAGGTTATCCCTTTTAGCTGATGACGTCTATTCGCAAGACAGCGGTGACAATGGTGACGTTCATTCTTCAAAGGGGACGGTCTTTTTCGCTTCAACATAAGAGACCGCTACCTGTCACTGTGACTTTTTATTTACGAAGAAACTTGTCGAACTCAAACCCAGTCCACCCTAGCGGTCTTATCACTGCCTGTACGCGACTGCTTGTTTGTCGCAGCTAACTCCATTTCAAAAAGGTCGTTCCCAGATCTGCAATCCGGGAACGCGCCATATCGCCAGCAGCTAGCCACACTGAGTACATAAGAGTTCGTACGGTTGAGCATGCTGAAAAACCTATA